AAGTGAATGGAGGGCACTCGACACCTTGTCAGAGTGGGCCAGGAGTGCAGCTGCAGACCAGTCCAGCTGGAGAAAGAGGAGATGGGTCCCCTTGACTGTTGTCCTTGTCTGAAGGTTAGGCACAGGCCAAGTGACAAAGTGTCTACGTCTTGGGCTACAGTGCCATTGGTGGTGGAGCCCATGGAGGGAGGCTCAGGACCCTACCCTTTTTGTTGGGTGAAACAAAAAGGCCTTGGTCAAGCTGGGCATGGTGGCTCATGCCTGTAATCCCAGCACTTTGGGAGCCAAAGCAGGTGGATCACCTGAGGTCAGGAGTTCGATACCAGCCTGGCAAACATGGTGAAACCCTCTCTCTACTAAAAATACAAAAGATTAGCTGGGTATGGTGGTGGGTGCCTATAATCCCAGCTACTTTGGAGGCTGAGCCAGGAGAATCACTGAACCCGGGAGGTAGAGGTTGCAGTGAGTTGAGATCGCACAGTTGCACTCCAGACTGGGCAACGAGAGCGAGGCTCTGTCTCAAAAATAAACAGACAAACACAAACAAACAAGCAAACAAAAAACAGAAAAAAAAGTAAAGACCTTGGTCACTCTGGAGGTTGGCGGGAACTTCCTTGGGGCAGGGGACAAAATGACCAGTTTGGAACTTGTTTTCTGACTATATGAAGGGACACTGAGTCCCACCTGTCCTTTCTGGCAGCTTTCATCTATGTGAAGCTCATCTAATCAGCCTGTTCTTGATGGCAGAGTTCTTGCATGGCCCTTACACAGGAATGGAGCAAAAGAGGAAGGATTTTCCCACCATGATGATGCTGTTCTAGCTCACCTGGAATGCCTCTTCTCTTCCTTTCCAGTCATCCAGAGCTCAACTCAAATCTCATCCTTTCCAGGTTACCCTGGACCATGGTGATCTCAGCTTCCTCCCCAAAGTGGTTCGAGGTTTCTCGTCTGCATTATTCCTTTACCATTTCTGTAAATATGTATGCTGCCTGTGTCATGTCTTGTGTTGTTAATTGCACTTGTTATAAGTGTAGGTTTTCTGTTTTCATTAGATAGTACTTTTTTTCAGATCCTTTTATAGTCTTTATATTGTCCAAAGTATGTGTTTATAGTAGTTGCTTAATTAATACTGATTGAATATACTTGGGTGTAAATTCATAAATGAACAAATGAGGCCGGGCGTGGTGGCTCACACCTGTAATCCCAGGCCAAGGCAGGTGGATCCCCTGAGGTCAGGAGTTTGAGCCCAGCCTGGCCAACATAGTGAAACCCTATCTCTACTAAAAATACAAAAAATTAGCCTGGCACAGTGGCAGGCACCTGTAATCCCAGCTACTTGGGAGGTTGAGGCAGGCGAATCGCTTGAACCTGGGAGGCAGAAGTTGCAGTGAGCTGAGATGGCACCATTTCATTCCAGCCTGGGTGATAGAGTGAGACTCTGTCTCAAAATAAATAATTAAATAAATAAGTGAAGGACTGAACACATCCTACCTTTGAGTGCTTCTTGGTGATGACTTGGTGTTAGAGGCAGGCAGAGATCATTACAACCTCGTGGATGAGATTTCTGCACCACCTTCCCTCTAGGGTTTGTTTTAGTAAAGAACTGTCATGTTGTTAATTCCAACTCCTTTCCAAATATACATGTTTCCTCAGACGACCAGGGTCCTCACGACCCCTGGTGTAGTTACTGAGCACAGCTTTGTGTTTATTCACATCCTGTCTCCAAGTAGCCCGTAGTAAGATGCTGGTTAATAACTCTTACTGTATATTGCAAGGGTACTTAATCGCTTCCACATGCCCCTCGACTTCACGTTATATTGTTTCAGCTGCTAATTTTCGAAATCCCCCAAACAAGACCTCTGCTCTGAAACATGTGCTTCAGAGCTGTTTCTTTCTGCCCTGCTCTTCTAGAAAACTTACATGTGGTTTATTTCAACAGCAGGAGTGACGGGGAAACATGTTCATAACTTTTCTCCCTCTTTTCCTCCTTTGAGTCTCTTTTCTGCCAAAGCTCTTGGCTGGGATCCAGAAATGGCACATTCAATAATACCCAGTGTGTTTGAGTAATATTTTATAATTACATTGTTGCTGGGAAAATGGTTGCCTTGAGAATAATTCCTCTGCATAAACAAAGTCTGGGACCCCTGTGCCCCTTCACACCCCCCTTGCTGTGGGGAGAGGGAGGCAAGAAAGAAGAAGGAAAGAAAGGAAGGAAAAAAAAGGAAGGAGAGAGGAATGTAACATTTTCCTGCTTGGCTTTAGAAAGGGGACACGTCAGAGAAGATTTATAAATTGGTGAAGGATGAGTACTAACAGCTTTTAGGAACCCTGCCAATTCTATGCTTGGAACTGATGTTCATCAGAAGGTAAACAGGAAAGCCATGTCCAGGTGTCTAGGAGGTGGAGGGTGGACAGCACTGTGGACTGGAAACTGAGGATCTGGTCGACTCTCCTGCCCTCCCCACATTCATATTCTCCCACCTGGCTCCTTCAGGCACCTACTCTTTCCAGCCTCACCTGAAGTTGGTTTCTGAGATTCAAGGGGGATGCATATTAGAAGGTCTAGAGGAAAGACTTCTGGTGGGTGAAGGGAAGGAGGGCTGTTGCTAACGGTGGCTTTAATTGAGAGGTCTTCTTAGCTGTAACCTCAAGAGCCTACATAGGGCAGGGCTGTCTCTGAAGCAGCTGTTTGCCAGGTTGGTTAGAAAACATGGGGATGAGTATTCATGTGGGCTTCAGTTGCCACAACTTATGAGGACTTGACTGTACTTTATTAACTACAGCATTTTGGAAGGGGCTCTGTGCAGACCTTCCCTCCCAGTTGCTTCCATTCTAGATCTGAACTCCGGGTGTGAGGTGCTAGGATGCAGCTCCAACTCCAGGAAAATGTCATCACTCACAAGAAGAGACATCTATCTAGGATGGTCACTCAAAAGTAAATGCCCCACAGGGGCCACTGCAGAGCCTGGCAAGTAAGAGATCAAGGCATGTGGTCTGCAGCATCAGAGGTCACTTGCGGGTTACTCTTGCACTCTGGCTTGAATGGGTGACAGCAGCTTGTATGCTCATCGTCTTCCTGACATTTCCAAACAATTCAGGATAGATCATTAGAGTAGTTTCAGCCAAAAGGAGCTTTTAGTTAGAGTCCAAGATGTCATTTATTAAGGACGAAACAAGTAAAAATCACATTTCAAAGAACTAAACCCCCAGACCCTATTTTCAGATGCCAATCCTCCAAAATAACATAAAAAGTCAAACCCTCAAACAAAATGAAGTACCATGCACCAGTTCCAACTCTCCTGGGACTCCCTGAGGCTCTACTGTACCCTCCTTTCCAACCTCTTTGTTCGCTCTGGCTGCTGTAACAAAATATCATACTGGGTGGCTTATAAACAACAGAAATGTATTTTTTACAGTTCTGGAGCCTGGGAAGCCCAAGATCAAGGCAATGGTAGACTTGATGAGTCTTCTCAGTGATGAGACCAGCCTTCTCAATGATGAGACCAGCCTTCTCAATGATGGCATCTTCTTGTGTCCTCACATGGTGGAAGACTCAAACAAGCTTCCTTGCCAGGTTGAGTATTTACTCTGCTCTTTGTGTATGTAACTTGCCACTGAGTCTGTGTATGGGTGGGAATGGTCTGGTTCCCGCACGAGTTTGGGAATACTATTACATTTTAATGTGATTTGCCTTCACTGATCTGAGCTGTTTCACATGATTGCTGGGGGAACAGGCATTAAGTGATTCTCAGTCACCTAGCTCCTTCTGGGGTGCATGGAAGAAATGACTTACATTTATTGTGATAACGTGTTTACATTTAAATACAATTTGAAGCTATTTTCTCTCTACAGTCTTCTCTTGGGTCACAGCCATGGAACAAGCACTGTTGCCACTAATTTTTGAATTCTCAATTTCCATCATTTCTGCTCAGGGGAATCTTGGGTCTTCTTACAGGAGAACAGAGAACCTGACTAGCCCCCCTCCCCGGGGAGTGAGGGGAGCCTGGAGCTTCACTAATACAAGCCAGAGGGGAGATTTTGATTGATCCAATTTATAAAACACAAGGCTAGAGCTTTCAGCAGCTCCTTCTTGCATCCAGCCAAAAGCAAAGTCACCAAAACGTGCTCGCTGAGATTCTGCCTCATTTTAAGCCTTAGTAAAATGCATTTCTCTCTATGTCTTCTCTTTAATTCTCTCTTGTCACACCCTAACATCAGGAGCCTGCAGAATCCCTTAGGGTGCTGAGGGAACAGAGACTTAAGACCAAGTCACAGCAAGGGGCTTCTCAGGTGGCTAAAATGCCAACATGACTTAGTTTATATGAACTTGGGAGACCCCCAGTCAAACAAATCCACTCCCTTTCATTGACCTGCCTGGAATTTTCACCACAGAGATTACAAAACTGGGAGCAATTAGCTGGAGATATTAATAGGTTCTGTCATGTAAAGTATTTGTAACAAAGCCTTCGGTTGAATTCCAGACTGAGAAGTTTTACTCCTGGAGCCAAAGAAGGCTTTGTTCTGGTTGACATCATGAAACTATTTTTAGGGTCCAAGTCTGCTCTGGCAAGGGGACTGAGGGTTCACTGTCCCCTCCTCCTGCCTCCAGACCTCTTGTGCCAATGCCACCCCCATCCCTTTTCTTTCCCAGAGCTGGGTGCGTGGCTGGACATGACTAGGAAAGGATGAAGTTTTCAAGAGAATCAGCCCCCGGTGGGCTGCTGTCTCTGCGTGGCTTAGAGGGGTGGGACAAGGAACATCACCTGACCCAAACTAGGGTAGGCAAATTCTTTTCCAGCTCCTGGAGACTGTGGTTGGGAGTTTGGAAAGACTGAGGAAGGTCATGTGTCCTCTTCTGACATAGGAGACATTTCGTTCTGTATCAAAAAATGTTTCTATGACGTCCTGACTTCCTTATGGACTCCTACACTCTATGTTTGTTCAGGGTCTGATACACGAGCACAGGTCTGATTTGAAAGAGAAGGAAAGGTCCCCTGCATATGGCAGTACTCCCACTCCTCTCTATTTTGTATTTGTGGAGCTCTTTGTGCTTTTCCTATCAGTTTTATCCTTTGATTTAATGTGATCCTCTAACCACCCTATGCAGGATCTGGTATCCTGGTGATGGGGAAACCAAGGACCAGAGAAGATAAATCATTTTCACAAGGTGATTTAAAGGAATAACAATCCATGTTTCCCAGCTCCTGTTGCATTTTTTTCCAGTAGGCTGAGCATGTTTCCCCAGCTGGAGGAGAGGGTTTCCAGGAAGAGCCTGTCCCAAGGAAGAATTTTTTTGCTTCGGCCTGGCATGACCTACCACAGAGGTAAGCTGAGCTGGGTCACATCCCTCAAGCATGCTGGGTGATCTTCCACCCTGTCACATGGCTGGGTAATGGTTCCCAGTGTGGGGCAGGCCACTTCCCATTTTCTCCCTTCATCATGGTACTCCTGGGCTAAATGTGAATCTCACAGGACAGAGTGGTACTTCCAGGTTGTACTGATGCCTGAGGGGCATGCAGATTTATAGGTACAAGGCCACCCCTAGGCCATGTGGTGCCTTTGCATGAATTAGCAAAAGGTGCCTCCTCCAAGTCAACAGGTTCACAGCAGGACACAGGACTTGGGAGAGGAGCCCTGATCAGCCCCACTTGGTCAGGAACCCATGTTCAACCTCCATTTGGTCAGGTACCTTTATGCAGAGAATCTAGGAAAGAGAATAGAGCCTGGATCCTGGGCTTCCTCCTCCCTGATCATTACACAGGAGTATGGGAAATTATCATCCACACAACGGATGGGTTCAGTTGCTTGGTGGGTGTCAACCCAATGACCACAACCAAGGAAGATTTAGCAAGGAGATGTTATTACTTATAACAAGTAAGGAGAACCCCAGATATGGTTCCCAAAGCAGTGTCTCTCCAGTTGAGGGCTGGGTCAGGTTTTATAAGCATAGGGTAATGAGGTGTGATCTGATTGGATCTTGCAATGAGGTGATGCCAGGAGGCCTGATCTGACTAGATCCTGCCATGGGGTGACACCAGAGCTCAATCTGATTGGATCCTGGATCCTGCCATGTTGGATTCACGCCTCAATTCAGTCCCCATTCCCCAACTCCAGGACTTAGGTTCCCCGGGTGGCTGCCTGCTTGGTTCATCTGGGCACGCTCAGGTTAGGGTCCATGGCAACTGAAAAAAAAATAGCTCGGAACTTTGTTGCATAAAAATTGAACCAGATTGGTCTGGTCCAGCTACGAAATCACTGATGGGGGTGAGGGTTGGCTGAGTGGCTCCCCCATACAGTAGATCCTGACTGAGGAATTCATTCTCTCTCGTTTTCCAAACTTTAAGCCTTCTGAAGGAATGAGCAGCATTTCCCACCTCCTCTCAAGGACAGCCAGGACTCTGTGTTCCAAGAGCTGGACTTCCCTTGCCCCAGGGGAGAAACAAGTATAGGCTTGTTTGGGGGAGGAGCTGGTTTATCCAAAAGCTGGAGGACTTTCAGGTTGAAGGAGAAGGGAGATCCAACCTGAGAAAGAGTGAGATGCCTGCACAGGAGGCTGAAGTGGTGCCGGGCTCTTTGTGAGTGGAGATCTGTGTGTACTCTGCCTCTGTACAATGGGCTGGAGGTTGCAGGACCTTGGATAGGATGAGTGTGGAGATGTCTGTGGCTTGAACAGGAACCACTACCTCCCTTCTTGGCTTGGAAGGAGGATACTTGAAGCCGCAGAGTCTTCCCATTGAGCATCAAAGTAATGAGTAAAAGGTATTGAAGAAAGGCGGCCCTTCCCCAAGGTTCCTGGATTGCGTAAATCCCAGGATGTTTTTTATGACCCAAAAGAAATTAAAAGTGACTTAAGAAGCTGAGCCAGGTTTAAGCTCATTTAGAAAAACAAAGAAATGGGTTGTTTCTTGTGCCCCAGATTTATGGACTAAATTCATACTGTTTACCAAGTTCCACCAAAGGCTTAAAATTCATATCCGGTCAGCCCATAACCCCTCCCCAGCTGTCACCCCAAGACACACACGTGGAAGACAACTTCTTGTCTTCATCTGTGATTCCCCCAAACATAACATTGGTTGGACTTTCCGTTTGGAAAATATTTCTTCTTCAAGGCAGCCAATTTAAAACTAAATTGTAGTCTGGCTTCACCTGTAAAATGTTTGTGGTAGAGGCGGGGTTGTAGGCAGGAAAGCTCACTGTGGAATCTGCTTATATGTCTTGAGACCCATCTTTCTTTTTTTTGAAAATGGAGTCCCTCTCTGTCATGCAGGCTGGAGTGCAGTGTGGTGTGATCTTGGCACACTGCAACCTCCGCCTCCTGGGTTCAAGCAATTCTCCTGCTTCAGGCTCCCTAGTAGCTGGGACTACGGGCGTGCACCACCACGCCTGGCTAATTTTTGTATTTTTAATAGGGATGGGCCGGTCTTGAACTCCTGACCTTAAGTGATCCACGTGTCTGGGTGATCCATCCTCCCAAAGTGTTGGGATTACAGGCGTGAGCCACTGTGCCCGGTCTTGAGATCCATCTTGACTTCTGGGAAACCTGGTAATATCTCTGATCCCCAAAGACATAGATTTGTGTCATGGGGCTTCTCCAGGGTGTTGAGGAGCCCTGGAATCAGTGAGAAAAGTTTAAAGTTCTATAATATTGGAAAATGGAACTTGCCTAACTCTGAGCGTCTGAGGCGCAGAGCCTGGGAAGGTAGCCCTTCTGAGAACTGTGCTTCTAAATGTCCTTCTTGTCCCCAAGCCTTTCTCCCTAAGTCCCAGTCCTTCTGGGCAATTTGCAGCTGGGTCCTTCTATTCCCTCACATGTCAACTGGAGGAGAATGAGATTTCTGCCTCTCCTTTTTCTTGAGTACAGAGGAGGTTCTACGATGACCTCGATTCTCATCAGCTCTTAAGAGCACTTTAAATGAAAGGCTCTGTAAGAGAAGAGCTTATTCTTTTTGCGAAGATAACACCTGCATTCAATCCAGATTACTGCTGTCCTGCCTCTCTCCTTCCCCTGCTAAACCTGGAACTGATTCTGTGGGTGGTTTGATATTTGAAAGAGGGAGCAGTAATTTCAATTCTATGTCCTGATGTAAACTGTTACAATCATTTCTTCTTGGACTGAGCAAAACTCAAACCAGGGTGACTTTAGATTCAGTCCACCCATCATTATTATTCATTTTGAGCCTCTGATACAGAGAAAAAGAAGATCCCCTCTGCACCCCCTTTTCTGTTTTTGCTCTAATCTCCCCCTTACCTCACCTGGAAAAGGTGGATGGTCAGCAGCAAATGTTGCCGGGCAAAGATTCACACCAACAGCTACCTCTGTGAAGTCCACAAGGCTGGCTGGGTCTCTCCAGCCCCCTCTCCACCAAAAGGCAGCTTGCCAAGCCCTGCACAGGGGGTCCTGTGGTTCTGACCTACTCTGTGCCCCTGTGGCTGGCTGTGCTCTTCACCCACATCGCCCACACTCTAGAGATGAATGTCAGAGCTCCTCCTCTCTGCTCCATCTGCTCACCAGAGGCTGCGGCCTTTTCATTAGGTCTTGCTGATGGAATCTCATTTTCCTTTTCCAAAGCGCACTCTTGAGGACCCATCAGTCCGGAGTTTCTGGCTTTCTAGAGCTGCGTAGCCAGCTGGCTGTACCCACTTCCTTGGCTACCATTGCTTGCGGCTCAGGGAATTTGTCAGCCATGGCCCCTGGAGAAGGAGCTCCTGCCAAGCTCTGCTCTTTTTCAGTCTTCTCCTTGGCTCCCTCGCTCTTCCCTTAGCTCTGCACACTTTGTTTTCTCTCTTCTTCCATCCAGGCAAGGTTCCTGTTCTTTAGACAATGAGAGTCTTCATGAGAAACCAAAATCCAGAATAAGGAATAGAAGAAGGTCGCTCAAGGGTCAGGGCAGTGCACTGGAGGACCACAGTCAAGGGCATTGTCAGTTCTGTCTGATGTTTTGGCCAGAGGAGGCTGGACAATGCTAAAGAGTGCACAGAGGATGTGGTCAGCAGAGAGAAACATCGGCAAGAAAACTGGGACATGAAGAGCTTGCCATGGTCATTTTCAGGTGAAATACTGGTGTCGAAATTTCACTCTAGACCAAGGAAGCAGTAATGGGGCAATAGTTTGTCTACTGAAAATCAAGCCTTGTGGATATTGACTTGCCTTAATCTCTTTCAGCTTCTGAAAGTAGTGGTAAATGATATAGGGGGCTGCTCCCCCAGGCTTGGTTCTGTCCACCAGGGTTGGGCACTCTATGGTACAGGAACCTCAGGGAAATTTATCTGGGCATTACCGATAAGTGCCACCTACGTGTCTCCTCTTTCAGAAAGATTACTGGGAGAAAAAATCTGAAAATAACCCAGGAGATTCCAAGATTCAACTAATAACCAGGAATAGTAGCAAGGAAGAGACTAAGGCATCTAAGAATCAACAGAACTGCCGGCAAGGCCTGCTAATAAGTTCAGATTTTAAGAGTGATCCTGTGAAAGATGGAAGCTAAGGCCAGCTCACGTGGATGAGGTCAGGGAGACTCAGGGCCACAGTGAGCGGTGGATTGTGAAATGTGTCAAACAAGAAAATGGACTATTTGGAAAAAGGAAATGACATCAGAATAAAGCCAATGCTGGGGAAAGATTGTGTAATTGCTGAAGAACCTAGCCTTTTTTGTCTTATGAGCCAAAAGAACTTTCAAGATCACGTTGTCAGTGGTAGAGTCGCTCCCCATATTTATTTTTCTCTTTTCTTGTTTACTAATAGAGCTCTCTTCCCCCTTGCCCCATTCCCAGCTTTAGCTGGATACATGACCGCTCAATTACAAACTGAATTTTCCCGCCTTTTTTCGCAGCTAGGTGGCAATGTGGCAATGACACTGGCCAGTGGGATATGAGCAGAATGATGTGTGCATTTCTAGTTAAAATAGAAATCCCTGGACCTTCCTTCTCCCTGTTTCTGCTGCCTTGGATCCAGAGGCAAAAGTCACATGTTGACCCCCTAGCCTGGCTCCCTGGACCTTTTTGAGTAGAGCTAACCCACCATCCCTGAACCACTTTTAATGGCAAAAATCACAGTTACTTTTGCACCAACCGAATACTTGAAAGTTTGGTGAAAAAGAGGCATAAACTTCTTATTTAAGCCACTGTATTTTGGCTTGTCTTTGTTACAACACTGTAGCCTGTAAACCTTAATCAGCACACAATCTAAAGGTCTCATTTTTCAGAAGAGAGAAAGATACCCACAGGCATTTAATACTCTGATAAGTTATTGATGAGTGGCACCAGAACCCATGTCAACTGTTGTGAGTATAATGACTCTTTCTATTCTACCTTCTGACTCAGAGAA